AAAACAACAAACTCGCTGCCATTGAGCTCCGTCTGAACCATAGTGACCATGTAGGATAGATGAGACCTGACCCTGTGGGTTTCTGAGACTGTCAACCTTGATGCACATAGGAAGCCTCCTTGTTCTCCCGAGGTATGTTCTATGCTGATCTCGGGATAAGTGTAACCTGCTTGCCACCAGGGCTCCTGCCTCTCTCCTCAGCTTCCTGTTAATGTGCAGATAGTAGATGTTTTATTGTGGTTGTAAACACAAAAAAATTTCAGCTATGGAGATAGTCATCAATGAAGAGTAGGTATAAAACAATTGGTGGTTTTGCAGGATTCCATACAGCATATTCTGAAAAACAATTAAGATAATTACTAATTAACTACACATTCTATAATGTGTGGGTTATTCTATAAAAGGTCACAAGGCTTAAGGCAAAAAACGTTCTGGATCAATAGGTAACATCATGATATATGGAGAAAAGGTTGAAACAGTCAAGGATTTTAACTTGTTTGGATCGACAATCAATGCTCATGGAAGCAGCAGTCAAGAGATTAAACAGTACATTGCATTGGGTAAATCTGCTGCACAAGACCTCTTTACAGTGTTGAAAAACAAAGATGTTACTTTGAGGACTAAAGTGTACCTGACCTAAGCCGTAGTATTTTGAATTGCCTCATGTGCACGTGAAAGTTAGACCTTGAATAAGGAAGACTGAAGAAAAGTCCATGCATTTGAACTCTGGTGCTGGCAAAGAATATTGAGTGTACCGTGGACTGCCACAAGAACAATCAGATCTGGCTCGGAAGACGTACAGCCAGAACGCTCCTTAATCAGATCTGGCTTGGATGAAGTACAGCCAGAACACTCCTGAGAAGCCAGCAAGACTTTGTCTCATATACTTTGGGCCAGTTAGTAGGAGAGACCCGTCCCGGGAGAAGGACTTCGTGTTCAGTAAAGTGGAGGGACAGGGAAAAAGAAGTAGGCCCTCAATGAGATGGATTGACACCGTGGCTGCAACAATGGGCTCAAATGTAAGAACAATTGTGAGGATGGGGCAACACTGGGCAGTGTTTCATTGTGTTGTACAAAGGGTCACTATGAATTGGAACCAACTCAATGCACCTAATGACAACCAATTCTTTGACTTGAAGGATCCCTGATGACCCACTGACTAAGCACTCAATTGCTAACTGACAGGTCAGAAGTTTGCAGACACTAGCTGCTCACTGGGCAATAGTGCAGTCTACTTCCATAAAGATAACAGCCGTGGAAATCCTATGGGGGTAGTTCTGTTCTTTGCTATAGTGTTGCTGTGTGTTGGAATTTACTCTAGGGCTATAGATGCTGTTTGGCTTGAAGATTACTTTTAGGAGTCCAATTCCTGTTCTGAGTTTAAGGGTCAAAGATGGTGATAGTTTGGGTAGGTCATTTCAACCTCCACACAATCCAGAAAGCTGCATTCCATGAGAATTAAAAATCCCATTCCAAAGTACTGCAGTCTATAACACAGTGATTCTTCAAGGTTAGTTCTCCTGAAGGTGGGATGCTTGCTCTGATGTAAAACTCTCCTTCTTTGGTGGAGAGTGTTATATTTCCTATTGATTCATCTCAAAAGTTCACCAGCTGTAGTCTCTCCCAACTACCAGAACTGGGCAGAACTTTCACCACAAGTTTAGATAATAAGTCCTTTCATTGAATATTTGGCACATTTTCCTCTAGGATAAATGATTTTGGAAAGCAATATAAATACATGCATTATTATAATACTGAAAAAGAAATCATGATGCATAGGTGAGCAGGAGATAGGCAAATGTTTGAAAAACGTCTTTATAAATTTATTTTTTTAAATGAGTCCAGAAAAAAAAAAAGAGCCCAGATAGATTCATTTACTTTAGAACTAAGATAGAAACAATTGCATGCTTGATTCTAATTACTTATATTTTAACTGCTGCAATGCAGGAGCTCTGGTGGCATAGTGAGTTATGATTTGGGCTGCTAACTGCAAGGTCAGTAGTTCAAAACCACCAGCCGCTCTATGAGAGAATGATGAGGCTTTCTGCTGTAAAGATTTATATTAGAAATCCGCAGAGGCAGTTCTACTCTGTCCTGTAGGTTTACTATAGTTGGAAATGACTCAATGCCAGTGAGTTTGGCCTTTGGTTACATGCTTAGTAAGAACCATGGCGGCGTAGTGGTTAAGTGCCTCGCTGGGAACCGAAAGGTCAGTATTGAAATCCACCAGCCAATTCATGGGATAGATGTAGTATTCTGCTTCCATAAAGATTTACAGCCTTGAAAACACTACAGAACAGTTCTAGACTGTCCTATAGGCTCACTGTTAGTCAGAATGGACTCAATGCAAAGGATCTTGCTTTTGATTTTTGTGATGTGTTCACAAATTTGTAGGGTAATTTCCAAAGAGGTTTCTCGAAAGTTCACGTCTCATTGGAAACAATGACCTTCTAGCTCCAGATTTCTAAACCCCATGCTTTCTGCAAGATGTTAGAGGAAGTGTTTTAAAATGGAGCTGTTTCAGAAAGCATGACAACTATTTCGACTGAGGAGTGTTAAGAAAGAGTTTGTGACTATCTCTGCATTATCTGGAATACTTAACATCCCAACAGAGGCAGAGCATGTGACTCTACTTAAGGGGGCTGGAAAATGTCCAAGATCTTGGGAAGGAGGGCTTCAACAGGCTTTACATGGCCAGACCTTGCTGGGGGTGAGAGAGTAGCTCCCTCCACTGTCCTATAGACATATAATAATGATTCCCTTAGATTTCATTAAAACAATAGTTCCATTGTTACCCTTATAGGTTGATGTCAGGAAGTGGCATCACTAGAGTTCCTGCCACCCAGAGTGGTAATTCATGGTATCACACTACCATCCCAGCACCCACGGACCTTGGCCAGCATCAAATCATACAAAATGCTCAAGAATGCTTTTTATCGATTTTAATCATAGAACAATATGTGAAGTTGGAGTGAATTGCTTAAATCTAATATTTCTTGAATGTATGAGTATTAGGAAATATATTGTGTAAAACCTTTCTATATTGAATCACATTATTAGTTACATTATTAGTGACAGAATGGAAGTGTTTTTGGTGTTTCTTCTGCTTAATCTTTAATGACCACTTCATTCTAAAAAGTTATTGATATAGTTTCCCCAATAGTAATGACCACAGCATTATAGCTAAAATGCCAGGAAATTTGGTGAAATGATCAACTCTGAAAGACATCCAGAGCGACCCAAAACAACAGCACATGCTTGGCGGTGAAACTTGTGATTCCAAGCGTCTGTCTTTGTCATTGTATAATAATGACCTGTTGGGCCAGAGTACATTAGGAGGTTCAAAAAGTAAATTAATATAGAGATTTAGCCTTGAAACTATACTGATCTATGTAAATTGGACCTATGAAAAATGTTTTTGTGGTTATAACTAACTACAAGTCATAAAAAATGATGAGCATCTCAGGAAACACTACACAGAAATGTTGCAGACATTTTGAGGTCACTGTGTCTGACAGTGTCACCCGGTTAAGTCCGTCCTCCTGGTGTCACCACTGATGTCTGGGCCAGCATCGAAATTAGAAGCCAACACTTGATTAGGCTGGGAGTTAAATGTATTAATTGATTATGCTTATGATGCTTTTGTTAACAAAAGTCCGGTCTTAAGGTAAACAATTTGGTCTGAAATCAAATTCATTCATCTAACTTTTTTGCCTTATTGTCCAAGAAAACTACAAACATAATTTTCAAGTAAACTATTGGAAATAGTAAGTACAAAAAAGAAATAAGAAAACATGAATTTTGAAATTTTGAGTTGGTATTAATTTAGTTCTGGAATGCATCCAGCATCCTCATTTTATCCCAAGCTACTTTGATATCATCAAAAACAGGGGGACAAGTTGAATCAGGCACGGTAGTTTTGTACTCCAGAAAACAACGTAACAGGGCTTTATCGCTGTAACCGCACAGGGACCGAGGGGCATCTAAAACCACCTTTGATTACTTTTACTCAGCTTGCTTCATGGAAGGTAAAATTAACAACAAACAACCCCCCCCCCCCGAAACACTATTATACCCCCTTTCTCTGCTGCCCCTACCAGAGTGTAAGCCTTGAGGTCTCGAGGCTGTCCAGGTGGAAGTTTACATTCTTTGTTAGCAGAAGAGAAACAAGTGAGCATCCCGAAAATCCTTCAAATCAACTTTTAAAAGAATCTAGATCATCTACTTTTTCACTTTGAAAACTGATGACAGCTCTTGGCTCATGGATACTGTTGAACTTCCGTTTTAACAATTAAAGGGACATATAGACAGCCTTATTTGTTAGTTATTTGGCAGAAGTTAAAGAAAAGGGACACAATGGATTAACATTGACATTTCATTTCAATTATTATTATTATCATTTTAGTTATATACTTTGAGACTACAAAAACATTTTTGACATCCCTGGAAATTAACTACAAGTAGATTTTACATGCCTACACACACATACATATATGTAAACCAGTGTAAATCAATGTCAATGATGGCACAGTAAGACTGGTCTTTGGGTCAAGGAAATAAGCAATGAATATGAATTGCCTCTTTACCATTTGCAAAAGAAGGAAGATGAGAGAGGATTCTGAGTGATTTATGTAATATGACGTATAAGCACTCAAGATAAACCAGAGAGATAGACAATGAAGATGAGATGAGATCGTATAGAACTATCTTTGAAAGAGAGAAAGGATTGGGAGTGGTGTCAACTTATAAAGTGAGAGACAGAAGAAACAGAGTGTACATCAGCTGTCAGATTGTTCATTCCTTAGAGCAGTTGTCCAGCTGAAAATAGCTGTCAAATGAGAAAGGAGGACTACAAAAGGATTAGATACCATCGGCACTTCTGCACTCCGGCTTTGTTATGACAGAACAGCACGAGTTTAGAGGAAGTAAACCGTAAACAATTAGATGAGGTTAGAAAGGATCCATGCTATGTTAACGTTAAGAAGAATTGTTACTGATACCATTTCCATGGATTTCCTTCATGATGGCGGTTGCTTGCTGTTTTCTCTGCTTCACCATGGTTTTATGAGACAGCATATTTTTTTGTTGTTCTCTGTAAAAATATAAAGGGACGTTATTGAGGTGGTGGAACTCATTGGGAGTATTTTAGAGCGACCCCTTTAAGAGAGAGTATGTTTGTTCTTTATTGAGAATTTACTGCTGCATTCTACAGAAAGACTTTCACACACACTCCGTGTGTCTAGTGACAGAGCTCGCTATTCATTCACAGCCAATGTTATAGTGAACACAGGCTGAGACTTGGGAGTTGCAGACGCAGTCTTATCTGACTGAACAGTAACTCAAAGATCACCAGGCAGTGAGAAACAATGAAATAGGCTGCCTCCTTTCCCCTCCCTCTCGTGGCCACAATATCTTAATTTGTCATTGTTTCCTAGTTCTGGCTGCCCTTTATGTGTACCAACATCATAGTACACGTCAATCCCAGCTAACTTAGAATAAAGACAGGACACCAGATTTAACCAGAATTCTTTGGTGGGGACGTTTTAATATTGGCATCAGCAGCTGTCCCTTAAAGAAAAGAATTTCAATTTTCTGAGTCACAACTCTGAACCTCTTTGGATAACTGACTAACAAGACATTTTAGGAAACATTATACTCACCTTACTGGGAGTCTGTGCTTTTCAGCAGAGATGATTCCCAATTTGTGTGGAAAAGACTCTGGAAATGGAAAATGAATGGCACTTGGGCCTGATGGCTTTTATCCTTGAGCCCAGGACGGCATGGTCACTAGCTCTGACTCAAACTGGAGACTGAGCCTTTCTGAAAAGACTGGCATCCAGTTGACATCAACTAACTATATATAGCACCAAATACTTCAGCTACTCATATCTTCCTGGCGAAAGAACGGAATAAAGATTAGACTCTCTTCATTGTGTTTCTCATTTGTGCAGTGGTTGAATGAAATGGGCATTCCTTAGACAGACAACATACATATTTTTTAAGCACCTTCTCTTTAAGGATAGAGGGGCTATAAGTAATTTAAAAGTTATTTAAGATATAGCTCTATGTTCTGAATCAAGGAGGTCAGGGACATAGCAATTAGAACAGAATGGTATTAAGTACGTAAAATCCCGGAGCAGCAGAAATGGTTTGTGTTGGACTACTAACTGAAAGGTTAGCAGACGTACAGAGGAAAAGCCTGGTGGTTTTCCAGAAATTCTATGAAGCAGCTGTCCTCTGTAGCACAGAGTTGAAATGGACTTGATGGCAATGGGTTTTTTGTTTGTTTCTTTCTTTCTTTCTTATTTGGTAAGATCATCAATAATGAAAATGAACAGTATACAAAACAATGTCGATGGAGTTTCAAGATGAGAGAAAGTAATATGAATTGACCCGTTAGAGCCAGAGCTTAAGCAGGAGAGGATTTGTGCTAGGTTTGAAAAAATTGGGTAATATTTGAATAGTAAAAGGGGGTGGCAGGTACTTTGAAAGTCAACAGTTTGACCAGGAACCTATCAGCACCTCATGATCACATAGACTGGTGTGCTTCATCCATGTGGTCTTTGTTGCTCCTCAGCTAGATGGCAGCTGTTTATCTTCAAGCCTTTAAGACCCCAGATGCTATATCTTTTGATAGTGTGGCACCATCCACTCTCTTCACCACATTTACTTATGCACTCATTTTGTCTTCAGCGATTGTGTCAGGAAGGTGAGCATCACAGAATTCTGGGTTATTAGAACAACGTGTTCTTGCATTGAGGGAGTACTTGAATAGAGGCCCAATGTCCATCTGCTACCTTAATACTTAACACACACATATATATGTACATAGATCTATTTCCCTATGGTTATATATAAATATATTTACATATGTACATGGTTTGGTGTGAATTTGTGGTTCTCTTTCTGTTATGTCCAACACATGAGGAAAAAAATAAGATTCTAATAAATATATACTTACTTGAATATGAGAAGATTGTATTCCCTTATAAGGAAAGCTATATTGCATACAGTTGAAATAGATTATACATTTGGGTGCATGATAAGTAGATTAATAATTCAGGGTCATTGGTGATAGGTTTAGGATAAACCATTGCATTTACTTCTGAGAAATATTTGCCTTGAATTTGTTAACTAGTCTCTAATGAGAAATTGTTTAGTTGAAGCCATTGAATTTAAATTTCCTCTAAAGATCCCTTATTTACTGATACATAGAGATATGGATGTTTCGCAATTTTAAAACTTCTTGATATTGAGTAAAAATAAATATCAGTGCTCTTTTTAAGCCAACTAAAAACCAAGCCCACTGCCATCACGTTGATTCTGGCTTAAGCCAACTCTGGATGGCAGAATAGGACTGTTCTATGGGATGTACGAGGTTGTACTTCTTCCAAGACAGATCTTGGATTGGCTTGAGGGTGTGAACCACTGATCTTGTAGTTTTACGATTACTATCCCTGAATTATGAAAGGACCTAAAACTTCAGAAGCATGCACTGCATTATTCAGTTACAAAAAACTTTTTTAGAAAGCCCCAGTCTTCTATTTGGTCATTTTGTGTTATATATAGTTTTAAAAAATTCCAAATGGTGCTTGTAGTGTACAATAATTCTTATGTTAATTCTGGTTTCTGAAAACAAAAACTATTGTTAAGCATTCTTAAAGTTTTAAAGAATGTAATCTCTTCCTAACTTTTGCTTACTTTTCAAATACCTTACACTTTTAAGTGATACTGACTCACACAAAGAGTAAGAGGAGAACCCACAGACTGGGAAAGCATTTTGGCAATGATACCTTGGATCAGGGACTAACCTCTAAAATCTACAGAAAACTGAAACACCTCAGCCAGATAAAGATGAATTATCCCATTAAATATGAGCCAAGAAAGCAAATAAGTAGCTCACCAAAGTTGACGTCTAGGCTGCCAACAAACTTATGAAGAAATGGCCTTTTCAAAAGACAAACCCGTCTCTCCTGGAAGAAGTCCTGACCGACTGTTCCTTCAAGGCAAGGATGGCAAGACTTAGTCTTACATACTTGTATGTGCTGTCAGGAGAGACCAGTCCCTGTAGAAGGACATCATGTTGGTAAAGTAGAAGGAGAAAGAAAAAGAAGATGGTCCTTAAGGAGATGGGCTGATACAGTGGCTACAACAATGGGCTCATAATTGTGAGGATGGTGCAGGCCGGGTTAGTGTTCTGTTGTTCATAAGGTTGCTATGGCTCAATGGCACATAACAAAAACAACAATGTTGATCACAGCACTATTCATAATAGCAAGAAGATGGAAACAACTGACGTGCTCATGGGTGGTGTAATGGATAAATAAGCTTTGGACCATACATACAATGGAATACTATACCTTGCTAAAGAATAATAATAAAACTGTCAAATACTTCATGATATGAATGGATTTGGAAGATATTATGCTAAGTGAAATGAGTCGGTCACATAAAGACAAATATTGAATGAGACTACTGTACTGTTATAAAAGACATAGAATCAAGATCAGAGGTTTTCATGCCAAAAGAAACAGACTGATGGTCACCATGGTGGGGGTGAAGGGGTTTGTGAATGAAAAGGGAGTAGAAGCAAAATAATAAATAAATAAACTCATAAACATTTTTTTAAAAGGAGTAAGTCACCCAGTGCTATTCCCCAAAATAAATGAACAAATGAACTAAACTAAAATAAAGTGATTCTAGAAGCTATGTAATTGGCGTTATCGGTAGAGTCATCCATCATGAATGGATTTCAAAAGCGTTGCCAGACAGAACAGACAGGAAACAGAGAATGGGATGTTCACTTCTGCGGGATTAGTCACTGCAAACCTTACGAGTAACGGGGACATTGTCAGAGGCTGTGCCAAAAAATGAACCCCTCAGATTGCATGAGACTAAAATACAATGGAGTAGGAGCTGCCTTCTCAAAGTAGAGTAGACCTTAATGACAATAAGGGAGTAAAGTTTTAGGGACCGTCATTTGCTGATGGGCCACAACTTGAAATAAGAAGCAATAGCTACAAATATTCATTAATAATGGGAACACGGAATGTATGAAGTATGGGTCTAGGAAAATTAGAGCTGAACTGTGGGCTGTTATTATCCATTATATATCCATTGTATATCTGCTAAGCATATGGTTTACCGTGCCAGGAATGAAAATTTCAAGAAGAATGGAATTGCATTTGTTATCAAAGAGAACATTTCATGTTCTAACTGTAAGGTATTGAAAAGCAAGGATGCTAATTTGGGGACTAAGCCATAAGGTGGCCAGATTTAAAGCGGGACACCATTGACCGGGGGAAGGGAGTGTTCTTGAGTAAAAATTTGGTCTATATGGGCCAAATAGACCATTCCCTAAGCTTGTCATGCATTCTTTCCAAAAACCGGGACTTTTTAAAACGCCAAAAATCAGAACTGTCCCGCCAAAAGCGGGACATCTGGTCACCTTAGGGGCACTTGACCCAAACCATGATATCTTCAATTGTCCCATATGCATCTAAAACTTGGACATTGAATAAAGAAACGGAGGAAGAATGGATGCATTTGACACTCCTGAGTAAGAGGAGGGACAGAGCTCACCCTAACAATTGTGCCCCAATCTGATGACATCTATTTGGTGTCATAGGTCTTTGGGTATAAGAGAGAAAGATCTAGCAGATTCAAATCATCTTTTGGCCCTTCACCTTCTGCCAGAGGTAGATCTTGTATCTGGTTCCTTGTTCTCCTATTACATTGCCTGCCAATCCCAGGTATCAGCCCATGTCCCTGCTGTCTCTGCTTTGTCATCCTGGTCTGGTTCTTGATCTCTCCGGGCCTCCAGCAGATTACTGGCAGTGAATTCATTTAGCCTACTTCATACCTCTGCATCCACCAGCCTGTGTACCCTGCTGTCTCTGCTCCATCATCCTACTTCCTATTCATCAGCTTCTATGAGTTAAGAGCTGTCTGACTTGAACTAGACTTTACTTACCTATTTCTACAACGATATAAGCCATTTCCTGATAGAAATCACTTCCTATATGTAATACATAACAAGTATCACTGTTTTTTTTTTTTTCTCTAGAGAGTCCAATCTAACCCATTTGGTACTGAGAGTGGTCCCAGAGAAACAAAATAGGAAAGATGAGTTTTTTAAATTGGTTCTCAGACTAACTCTGTCTCTCGAAATGCGGATAAGTCTGTCACTCATAGTAAATAGAACACTATTAATTCATGGTGTGAAACGACAAAACCGATACCCAAAATAGCATCACTGATCAAAATGCTGGTGAGAAGGGAGGCTCAGGGTGATTGTGTGTTTGTATCTTTCTACAGTTTTGTTCAGATGAGAAGTCGAGGGAAGTAGAGGGAAGCTGTGTGGTTGCAGAGGGAAGAAGAGGATGGGAAGAAGAGGGAACTGGGTGGTTGGTGTCTCTTGCAATAGGTGAACAGTTAAAGGAAACAGATGAACTGAAAGTTTCAGAAACCTGGTTCCCATGTTGTATAAATGACCTCGATGCTTCCTCTTGGGCCATGAAAGAAAGTCTTCTCTCTGCCAGGAACAGAATAATATTGCTAAAAACCAAACTCAGAGTCTTATCATATGAGTAAGATATCGGATATAAAAGTGAGAATACCGATAGGAAAAAATGGGACCTTGAAACTTCAGATGGGGACATAAGGGCTGATAATCCAGAATATGGAGACATTGATCCCAGAGATTCGGCTGAGCCACTCCAGCCATCAGCATCACCCCTCCTATCTGAAGAGTTAAAGCATTATTCCTGCCACCCACACTTGAGATTACCACACTTGAGGAGATTAGCCCATAAATGC